TATATATATATATATATATTCCAATACATAAATAGATAGATGAGAGAGACACTGAATATATATACTTATCTATGATAGATAGATAGATAATAGACAGACATTGAATGCCTGGATTGAAAAGTTTGCACATTGTATTTCACGTTTATTATATTTCACATTTATTATAATGTTATTGTTGTGTGCCCTCTCATATCTGACTTATGACGACCCTAGAGCCAAAGCTATTGTGGGTTTTTCTTGCAAGACTTGTTCAGAGGAGGTTTGCCATGGCCTTCCCCTGAGGCTGAGAAAGTGTTACTTGCCCAAAGTCGCTCAGTGGGTTTCCATGGCTGAGTTGTGATTTGAACCCTAGCCTCCAGAATCATAGCCCAGTGATGGCCATGTCTCCAAGACAGAACTGCCTTTGTACTCACTCCATCCCTGGGAAATGGAGTGGATGGTAAACCCTGTCAACTATGGGGTAGAGGTAGGGTTGCCATAATTCCCACAAAACCAGGGCAAAAGTATACAAGACTGGATTGGAACAACCTTCCCCCACCAAAAAAAAAAAAAAAAAAAAAAATTGTAAAGATTTCTTGTAACAATTGTACTTTTCAGAAGTCTGTATTTTGTCAAGGTACTTTAATTATTATTATGGGTTTTCCCCACTGGCTTGCATGGTTTTTAAAAACCTGACTGCATAGCAAAAGGCCAGCAGAGAGGGAGCCAGTCTAGTCTCCCATGGAAAGCAGTTCCAGAGAGTGGGAGCAGCCACCAAGAAGGCTCTCTCTCTCATATCCTCCCCAAGAGAGCCTGTGATCTTGGTGAGACAGAGATCAAGCTTTCTCATGCAGATCTTAGGGCTCTCACAGTTAGTATGGAGAGATATAGTATGGACCCAAGCCGTGGTCCCTTCATTCCACCCCCAATAAAACTCCCAGCCTCTTATTCAATGCAGGTTACTTTTCTTCATTGGAAGAAGAAAAGGAAAGGAGGGGAGGGAATAGTGAGGTGGGGAGGAGTGAGGGAGTGAGAATAAGTTGCTGATAAATCTGCGAAGTTTCTCCCCATTCAAGTCTGCAAGGGTTGCAGAGAAGAAGTTCCTCCAAACTCCAGCCAGCATTTCAGTGCAAACACTGGAAACCAAGGTCTCTGCCAAAATGTCACCCAGAACAAAGGAGGAATCTGGTATCTGCTGCTTCAACCAGTCCAGCTGACCGGGACATTTTTTAGTCCCTTCAGTCTTGGATTTCCCCAGATTTCTGGGATTTATGGCAACCCTCTAGAGTGGGGGATAAATCTATAGATACCCAGTCCCATGGGGATTTGTTAGGACCCCACTCTTGCATATTTGAGCTAATTATAAATTCCTCTAATTAGATCCTTCCTAACATCTCTTCCTCTTTCTCTCCACCTTCCCCAGCATTATTGTTTTTTCCAAAGAGTCCTCC